ATGTTGTTGCAAATGGCAGGATTTCACTCATTTTTATGGCTGATTAATATTCCATTGTGGACACACACACACACACACACACACACACACACACACACAACACATCTTCTTTATCCATTCATCTATCAATGCACACTTGAGTTGCTTCCTTATCCTGGCTGTGTAAATAATGCTGCAATAAACACATGAGTGCATATCTTTTCAAATTGCATTTTCATTTTTTTAGGGTAAATACCCAGTAGTGGAATTACTGGATCCTATAGTAATTCTATTTTAAATATTTTGAGGAACCTCCGTAATATTTCCTACAGAGGCTCCAACAGTTTGCATCCCCACCAACACTGCATGAAGGTTCCTTTATCTCTACATCCTCGCCAACAATTGTTTGTGTTTTTTATTTGAGCCATTCTGACAGGTTTGATGTGGTAGCTCATTGTGGTTTTCACTTGCATTTCACTGATGATGAGTGATGTTGAGCATCTTTTCATGTGTCTGTTGGTCATGTGTCTTCTTTGGAGAAATGTCTGTTCATGTCTTCTGCCCATTTTTAAATTGGATTATTTAGGGGGGTGGTTTGTGTTGAATTGTGGAAGTTTTTTATACATTTTGGATATTAGCCCCTTACTGGATATGTCCTTTGCAAATATCTTTTCCTGTTCAGCCAGGTATCTTTTTGCAAAACTTTTCATTTTGATGTAGTCTCAACAGTTTATTTTTGCTTTTGTTTGCCTTGCCTTAGGAAACATATCTAGACTAATGTTCCTATGCCAATGTGATAGAAATTACTGCCTATGCTCTCTTCTAGGATTTTTATTGTTTCAGGTCTCACATTTGAATCGTTAATCTATTTGGAGTTTATTTTTGTGTATGATGTAAGAAAGTGCTTTAGTTTCATTCTTTTACAGGTAGCTGTCCAGTTGTCCCACCACCATTTATTGAAAAGACTATCTTTTACTCATTGTAGATTCTTGCTTCTTTTGTCAATAGATTAATTGACTATATAATCATGGGTTTATTTCTGGCATCTCTATTCTGTTCTGTCGATCTTTGTGTCTATTTTTGTGCCAGTACCACACTGTTTTGATTACTATATATTTGTAGTATATATTGAAATCTGGTTTTATAATACATTCAGCTTTGTTCTTTTTTCTGAGAATTGCTTTGGCCATTCAGGGTCTTCTGTGGTTCCATATAAATTTTAGTATTGTTCATTCTAGCTTTTGAAACATGCTGTTGGTGTTTTGATAGGAATTTCATTGACTCTGTAGATTGCTTTGGGTAATATGGACATTTTGACATTAACTTTTCTAATCAAAAAGCATAGAATATGTCTCCATTTGTATCATCTTCAATTTCTTTCATCGGTGTTTCATAGTTGGAGTACAGGTCTTTCACCTCCTTGGTTAAACTTATTCCTAGGTATTTTATTATTTTTGGGATAATTGTAAATGGAGTTTTTTAAATTTCTCTTTCTGTGTATAGAAACACTACCAATTTCTGGGTATAAATTTTGTATACTGCCACTTTACTGAATTTATTACTTCTAGGAGTTTTTTTTTTTTCTTTTTGCTGCAGTTTCAGGGTTTTCTGTGTACAACATCATGTGATCCTCAAATAGTGACAGTTTAACTTTTTATCACTATGGCTACCTCTTATTTATTTTTCTTGTGTGAATGCTGTGGCTACAAGTTCCAGTACTTTGTTGGATAAAAGTGGTGAGAGTGGATATCACTGTCTTGTTCCTGACCTTAGGGGAAAAGATCTCAGCTTTTCACCACTGAGTCTGATGTTTGCTGTGGACTTTTCATATATGACCTTTATTATGTCAAGCTATGCTTCCTCTAACTCCACTTTGTTGAGAGTTTTTTTTTTTTATCATGACTGGATGTTGAATTCTGTCAAATGCTTATTCTACATCTATTGAGATGATCATATGATTTTGTTTTGTTTTGTTTTACTGATATAGTGCATGACATTGATTTGTGTATAGTGAACCATCTATGCATCCCTGGAATAAATCCCACCCGAATGTAGTGAATGATCTTTATAATGTATTGTTGTATGAGGTTTGCTAATATTTTTTTGAGGATTTTTGTATCTCAGGGATACTGGCCTGTAGTTTTCTCTTTTGTTAAAAAATTTTTTTACATTTATTTATTTTTGACAGGCAGAGAGATAGAGCACAAGTGGAGAGGGGCAGAGAGAGAAGGAGACAGAATCCAAAGCAGGCTCCAGGCTCTGAGCTGTCAGCACAGAGCCCGATGCAGGGCTTGAACTCACAAACCGTGAGATCATGATCTGAGCCAAAGTCAGACGCTTAACCAACTGAGCCACCCAGGTGCCCTGCAGTTTTCTCTTTTTGTTGTATCTTCACAGAAGGCACTACTTAAGATATATATCCTTTGACTACACCACAATGTCTCTCACTCTATAAAAGCTGTGGATTAATGCCTAGACTGCAGAGAATAGCTGCATAATGACATGGGTTATCATCTGCCCAACCCCTATCAGTAAGTTACCCTGAATAAAACTCTGTGTAAATGGTATAGAGTTGCTTTCTTCATTTTTTGGTCTTAAAGAGCCTTCGCAGTCTAGAAACTGCTTTACTGTCCCTCCTCCACTTAACATGTTGCCACCAACAAATCTACTAACCAATTTATGTCTGTACTCATGGTCTCTGCCATTCTACGTGCTAAAAAAGATGAATTATTCACTCCCCTATATAAAGCCAAATAACCTGGCTGTACATGGACTGAAGTAACCCAATTGTGCAGATGAATACCTTCTCACTTACTCTGGGACTGAATCCCTTCTTTTTCCTGAAATATCATGTTTTCCTTCACATTGGGTTTTTTAATTTTTTGATGTTTATTTATTTTTGAGAGAGAAAGACAGACTGCAAGCCGGGGAAGGGCAGAGAGAGAGGGAGAAACAGAATCCGAAGCAGGCTCCAGACTTTGAGCTATCAGCCCAGAGCCCAACATGGGGCTTGAAACCACTAGCCGTGAGATCATGACCCGAGTCAAAGTTGGATGCTTAACCAACTGAGCCACCCAGGTGCCTCAACATTGGGTTATTTTTAAGTCCAAGAGCATGCTATAATAGCTCCCTTAGAAAATGAAAAATCCCTCACACATTTCCGTTCAAATACTGTTCTATTACTCTTCTCCCCTTTAGAGTCAAACTCTTCAAGAGATTTCCTTAAATGCACTGCCACTCTCTCTTCACTTATGATATCCTTTGAACCCATTCTAATCAGGCTTTCATTTTCATGACTAGACTAAAATAATAATTGTTAAGGTCCTTGAAAATCTCAATTTGCCCGATCTAATAATCCATTTTATTTAAGAAAGTATTTCCTACAGGAGCACCTGGGTGGCTCAGTCAGTTAAGCATCCAACTCTTGATCTCAGCTCAGGTCATGATCTCACAGTTGGTGAGTTCAAGCTCTATGTCGGGCTCCACACTGATGGTGCGGAGCCTGCTTGGGATTCTCTGTCTCCTCCTCTCTCTCTCCCCCTCCCCTGCTCATTCTCTCTCTCTGCCTCAAAATAGACATTTAAAATATATGTTTTCTATTTAAGAATTAAAGAAAAGAATTAGGCAAAAGAGTTTGGTCTAGAAGCCTTAATGGTCAATGTGATCCAGGAACTAGCAGCATCTTCGTCACCTGGAATCTTATTCAAAATGTAGATTCTCAGACCCATCCCCAGCCTTGGGAAATCTCTCTGAGCCTCAGTTCATTCATCTCTAAAACAGGTAATAGTCAATTCTTGATCCCCCTCTTACTCAACCTAACTGCAGCAGTGGATGAGTTGATTCTCTTTCCTTTTCGAATCACTTTCTTTACTTGGCTTCTGGAATGCCACATGGTACTAATTTTCTCTTACCACCTGCAAGTTCTTATCAGTCTCTTGCTAAATACTCTCCTACTCTGTGACCTCTAAGTGTTGAAGTTACCATGGCATGCTTTTTTTTTTTTTTTAATTTTTTTTTCAATGTTTGTTTATTTTTGGGACAGAGAGAGACAGAGCATGAATGGGGGAGGGGCAGAGAGAGAGGGAGACACAGAATCGGAAACAGGCTCCAGGCTCTGAGCCATCAGCCCAGAGCCTGACGCGGGGCTCGAACTCACGGACCGCGAGATCGTGATCTGGCTGAAGTCGGACGCTTAACCGACTGCGCCACCCAGGCGCCCCTACTGTCCTAACCAGTGTGAGCACACAGGTTATAAACATTTCTGAGATGTGATTCCTGGAGGTTCCTGGTCATCACTTCTAGCTTCACACAACTTTGTCTGTTTGCCTCTTCAAGTATACAGCTATTATAATTTTTTATGTAGTCAGTGACATAAGAAAGATTAGAAAGCACTGCCCTGGATGATCTAACCCAATTATATTGTTTTAAATACCACTTACATATTGATGATTTCCAAATGTATATATTGAGCTTCAATTCTCCCCTGAACTCCAGACTCCTGTATCTAATGCCCTAAGCAACATCCTTACCTGTATGTCTAATAGGCATCCCAAACTAACACACCAAAGTGATTTCATAGCACCTCGTAGCATCTCATGCAACTTAGATAAAATTAAAAGGAGTAATCCTTGACTCCTAATCCATCAGCAAATGTAAGAGCTAAATTCAAAGTAGTCCCCAAGTATGACCACTTTTTATTGCCACTATTACCTCAACCCTAGGCCATGCCACTGTTATTCCTCATATGGACCACTTCATTTCTCTTCCAACTCCCTCCTTGGAGGCTGGAGTGACTATTCCATAATATAAACCAAATCATGTAATTTCCTTGTTTTGACCTTTCATTAGGTCATTGAACATCACACTTAGAACAAAACTGAAAGCCTTTCTGATGACCTATTAAACTGTAAATGACCTGGTTCCAGGTTATCTCCCAATAACATTTCCATTAAATTCCCAAATATCCATGCTGCATCCACACTGGCCTCCTTACTATTCTTAAAAACCAAGTATGCACTCACCTCTGGCCTTGTACTTGTTGTTCCTCAGTGTCTAGTCCCTTTTTGTAGGTGGGTGCAGAGGTGAGGTGGTAGAAACAGCAAGAAACTGACATCTAATTTTAAGAAATTGCCACAGTCATGTCAACCTTCAACAAACACTATCTTAATCGGTCAACCATCAACACTGAAGCAATACCCTCCACCACTAAAAGCAATAATTCACTGAAAGCTAGGATGATTGTTAGCATTTTTAGCAACAAAGTATTTTTAAATTAAGGTATGTACATTTTTCAGACATAATGCTATTATACACAATAGACACAGCAGAGTGTACATGTGACTTTTATATGCACTTAAAACCAAAAAAATTCATTTGACTCATTTTATTGTGACACTCACTTTTATGTGTGATCTGGAATTGAAGCCACAATAACTCTGAGATAGACCTGTAAAATAAAAACAAAACCTACTGATATAAAACAACTAGAAATTACAGGATACAATATGGCATTATTCTTTTAAAATACATAGCTTGGGTTTCAGTTTCAATTCTTCAATTTGCATCTTCCCAAGACCTCATCTTGGCAGATGAGGGAAAATTGGCAGAAGTAGCCACAAAGCATCTCTAGAGTGATACCCATGAAAGTCAGATGATAGCAGATTTCTACAAGATACAACTCCATTAGAAATGATTACACAATTCAAAATTGCAATACATAAAAAAATAATATAACAGAAGCAAAGTTCATATGACAAACAAAACAATAGGTATAGGACAAATTTCATGAGTTTTTATAACCAGTGGGACTTAAAGCCTATAATTTTAAAAATCAGCATGCTTGGCTCTGGGAGAGCCACGAGAGCAAGAGGGAAACTGAACTACCACCCTTAAAAAGACAGCACAAATAACAGCCCCTAGAGATACAGGACAGAAGCAACAGTTTGGAAAACGCCTGGGGGCATAGAGAGGGAGTTATTTACTAATCTCAGAATGTGTCCTGGAGAGACAGAGATCTCTGGAAGACTCCTGCAGAAACAAAGGAGCTAGCAGGTACCATTTCCCTCCCCAGGCCCCAGCATAAATACATGGTCATCTGCAGGAATCAACATAGTGCATAATTCATTACCTAAGTTGCTTACACCCTGCCCTGTCTGGCTTTGGCAAATCTGTCTTCTCCAGCCAGGCCTGCCTCAGTCCTGGTGCTATGGGTTCCCTCCACACAGAAACCAGTATGAGCCATGCCAGCACTGTCTCCCTGCCAGCACACTTTATGTAACGTTGGTCCTAGCAGTATGGTGGCAGGTCCCCTCTGGTGGAGGACCAACATGCAAACCTTGCTAAAACTGTGCATCCGAACCTCACATGCTTTTTGGGACTGCACCCTTCACTAAAGTCTTGGCCAGAGCCCATTCAAACCAGGGCCACAATCCTGGCAGTATGCAAGCATCTCTGTCACTCCAAAGTGACTTCTGCCACAAGGAGAGGGAAAGGCAACCACACATACTAGTCAGACTGTGGCCCCGGCAGTGGGCTGGGGTCAGACAGCTGGTCTGTTATAGGCCCTGCCCACCAACGAAAGCTTCTCAGGGGACAACACAGGGAAAGCACCTTGTGGTATGGTGCTACTGTGTCTCTGGTCCAACTCAATTCAAGCCCAAGGCAGCTCTAGCCTAGTCCACTATCATCGCAGGGACCAAACCCTGCCCAGAACAGTCAAAGAGAGCCATTGCAGCTGACTGGACTGAAGGAAAAAGCAGATCAGCCCCAACAGCAGAGTGCAAATAACACACATAGGAGACATCCTAAACTGTCAGCTTCTGGTAATCAGGAGACACTCCACTGCAAGGCCACTACAGGACCTCTTCTTCATAAGGCCACTATTTTCAAAAGCAGAAGTGGCTGACTTTCATAACACACAGAAAGAGACAGAGGAATATGTCCCAAATGAAAAAAACAGGGCAAAACCATAGCAAGAGACCTAAGTGAAACAAAGATAAGTAAGATGCCTGATAGAGAATTTTTTTTTTTCAAATTTTTTTTTCAACGTTTTTTATTTATTTTTGGGACAGAGAGAGGCAGAGCATGAACAGGGGAGGGGCAGAGAGAGAGGGAGACACAGAATCGGAAACAGGCTCCAGGCTCCGAGCCACCAGCCCAGAGCCTGACGCGGGGCTCGAACTCACGGACCGCGAGATCATGACCTGGCTGAAGTCGGACGCTTAACCGACTGCGCCACCCAGGCGCCCCTAGAATTTAAAGTAATGGTCATAAATATACTCACTAGACTTGAGAAAAGAGTGGAGGGCATCAGTGAGACCCTTAACAAAGAGATAAAAAAGAACCAGAGATGAAGAACACAATAAATGAAATTAAAAACATGCTAGATGAAATAAATAGCAGACTACAGGAAGTAGAATGAATCGTGACCCAGACGACAGAGTAATGGAAAACAGTCAAGCTGAGCAGGTGAGAGAGGAAATAAAATATGCAAAATGAGGATAGACTTAGGGAACTCAGCAACTCATCAAGTATACTAACATTTGCATTACAGGGATCCTAGAAGGAGAAGGGATAGCAAAGGAGGCAGAAAATCTATTGGAAAAAATAATAGCTGAAAACTCTCCAAATCTGGGGAAGGAAACAGAAATTCAGATCCAGGAGCCACAGAGCCCCCAATAAAATCAACCCAAGGAGGTCTATACCAAGACACATAGTAATTAACTGATGAAAAGTACTGATACAGATTGGATTTTAAAAGCATAAAGAAAAAACAAAACAGTTTCATAAAAGGGAAACTCCATAGGCTATCATCAGATTTTTCTACAGAAACTTTGCAGGCCAGAAGGGAGTGGCATGATATATTCGAATTGCCAAAAGGGAAAAATCTGCATCCAAGAATACTCTATCCAGCAAGGCTATCTTTCATAATAGAAGAGATAAAGAGTTTCCCAGACAAACAAAGGTTAAAAGAATTCACAATCACTAACCATCCCTACAAGATATGTTAAAGGGGACTCTGAGTGGAAAGGAAAGACCATATGTGAGAACAAGAAATGTAGGAAGCACATAGGCAAAATCAGCCAAGGGACTCCCACCATCTATCTAAAATTGGGGGGGGGGGCGCGAGGGGGGAGGAGTAAACAATGTGTTCAAACTTACATGACCAACAACTTAATATAGACTGCTATATGCAGAAGACATTATATACAAACCTAATGGTAACCACAAATCAAAAACTAGTAAAAGATATGCAAAAAAAAAAAAAAAAAAAAGAGAGAGAAAGGAATCCAAGTATATCACTAAAAAAGGCAGCTTATGGTGAGACAAGAAAACAAGGAAAGAAATGAATAGAGAAGAATTACAACAATAACCATAAAACAAGTAATAGAATGGCAAAAAGATGGCATAGAATGGCAAAAGATACATATCCATCAGTAATTACTTTGACTGTAAATGGACTAAACACTCCAATTAAAAGACACAGGGTGACAGAATGGATAAAAAACAAGATCCATCTATATGCCGCATACAAGAGACTCATTTCAGACCTATGACACCTGCAGATTGAAAGTGAGGGGATGGAGAAACATCTACCATGCAAATGGCTATGAAAATAAAGCTGGGTTGGCAATACTTATATCTGACAAAGTAGACTTTATAACAAAGACTGTAACAAGAGACAAACAAGAACATTATATAATCACAAAGGGGGACAAACAACATGAAGATATAACAACTCTAAATATGTATGCACCTAAAACAGAATCGCCCAAATACATAAAACAGTTAATAACCAGCATAAAGGAACTGATAGTAGCACATTAGTAGTAGGGAACTTTAACACCCCACCTACATCAATGAACAGATCATCCAAACAGAAAATCTATAAGGAAATGATGAACTCAATGGCATATTGGAACAGATGGACTTAACAGATATATTCAGATCATTCTATCCTAAAACAGCAGAATACACATTCTTTTCAAGTGCACATGGAATATTCTCCAAAACAGACCACATATTAGGCCCTAAAACAAATCTTAACAAATTAAAAAGATTTAAGTCACACCATGCATCTTTTCTCAACACAAAGCTGTAAAACTAGCAATCAACCGCAAGAAAAAAATGTGGAAACAGAACAAATACAGGGAGGTGACATAGCATACTATTAAATAATGTATGAGTCTACCAAGAAATCAAAGAGGAAATAAAAAAATACATGGAGACAAATGAAAATGAAAACACAATGGTCCAAGATCTTTGGAATGCAGCAAAAGTGGTCCTAAGAGGGAAGTTTATAGAAATACAGGCCTACCTCAAGAAGCAAGAAAAATCTCCAATAAACAACCTAACCTTACACCTACAGGACCTAGAAAAAGAACAACAAACAAAATCCAAAACCAGTAGATGGAAGGAAATAATATGGATGAGAACAGAAATAAATGATAGAGAAACTCAATGAAACCAGGAGCTAGTTCTTTGAAAAGATCAACAAAATTGATAAATATTTAGAGAGAGAGAGAGAGAACTCAAATAAACAAAATCACAGTGTAAAAGGAGAAATAATAACCAACACCACAGAAATACAAAGGATTATGAGAGATTATGAAAAATTATATGCCAGCAAATTGGTCAACCTAGAAAAAATGGACAAATTCATAGAAACATAGAACCTCCCAACAATGAAGTAGAAAGAAATAGGAAATTTGAGCAGACCAATTACCAGCAAGGAAACTGAGTCAATAATCAAAAAACTCCCAACAAACAAAAAGCCCAGAACCAGATGGCTTAACATGTGAATTCTATCAGACGTTTAAAAAAGAGTTAATACCTCTTCTTCTCAAACTATTCTAAAAAATAGAAGAGGAAGGAAAACTTCCAAATTCATTCTATGAGGCCAGAATTACCCTGATACCAAAACCAGGTAAAGATACTACAAAAAGAAAAAGAGAACTATAGGCCAACATCTCTGTTGAACATAGGTGCAGAAACCCTCAAGGAAGTATCAGCAAACCACAACGACAGTACATTAAAAAGATCATTCAAGGGGCGCCTGGGTGGCGCAGTCGGTTAAGCGTCTGACTTCAGCCAGGTCACGATCTCGCGGTCTGGGAGTTCGAGCCCCGCGTCGGGCTCTGGGCTGATGGCTCAGAGCCTGGAGCCTGTTTCCGATTCTGTGTCTCCCTCTCTCTCTGCCCCTCCCCCATTCATGCTCTGTCTCTCTCTGTCCCAAAAATAAATAAACGTTGAAAAAAAAAATAAAATAAAAAAAAAGATCATTCATTATGGTCAAATGGGATTTATTCTTAGGATACAATGATGTTTCAATATTCACAAATCAATCAACATGATATGGCACATATGTAATGTAAAAAATAAGAACCACATGATCATTTCAGTAGATGTAGAAAAAGCATTTGACAACATCCATTCATTATAAAAACT